GAGAAAAACAAAACACGAGGAGCCAGAGAAAAACAAAACACGAGGAGCCAGAGAAAAACAAAACTCGAGGAGCCAGAGAAAAACAAAACACGAGGAGCCAGAGAAAAACAAAGCACAAGGAGCCAGAGAAAAACAAAGCACGAGGAGCCAGAGAAAAACAAAACACGAGGAGCCAGAGAAAAACAAAACACGAGGAGCCAGAGAAAAACAAAGCACGAGGAGCCAGAGAACGAGGAGAAAAAGGACACGAGAGAGAACGGACACGAGGAGAAAAAGGACACGAAGAACCAGAAAGAACGAGGAGCCAAAGAGAAAAAGGACACGAGGAACCAGAAAACGAGGAACCAGAAAAGGGAGCCAGAGAAATGACACGAGAGAGGACGGACACGAGGAGAAAAAGGACACGAAGAACCAGAGAGAACGAGGAGCCAAAGAGAAAAAGGACACGAGGAACTAGAAAAGGGAGCCAGAGAAAAGGGAGACACGAGGGATCACAAGGGATATGGACGGTCAAGGGACCGTCCCTAAGAGTCACTGTTCCGGCGGGCGGCCGGGAGGCTGTCCATCAAGCCGAGCCAGGTCAGGGGGGGGGCCGGGAGGCTGTCCAAAACACAGGACCCAAGGGAACACGGCCTGCATGAAGGGAGCCTGTTGAGCTGCAGCGAAGGGCGTGGAAGCCTGTTGAGCTGCAGCGAAGGGCGTGGAAGCCTGATGAGCTGCAGCGAAGGGCGTGGGAGCCTGTTGAGCTGCAGGAGACGGCGTGGGAGCCTCTAGTACATACCCTAACCCCAAACCTAACCCCTAATCCACCAATGGCACTTCTTCTTGTGGGGCCCTGGCTTTGGGCCCCACAAGAAGTGTGTTACCCCCCCCCCCCCCCCCCAACACACACAGAGAAACAGGTAAAAACATTATTGTTGGTTCTCATTTTGCATACATTTCCCACAAAGAGTACATGTAACTATTCCGGGGTTCCCAGTAACTCTGGAAATCAGGGAGAACTCCAAAATTACTTTTGCATTTTCCAGACAGGGAAAATGCAGAGAATATTGTTTCCATGAAATGATGGGAATCCAGTATGTACGAAATCCTGACTGTACAGTTTGCACACAAACAATCTGAACCTGCCTTCATTGCAGGACATGATTATTTTGCATCAGATGCCATCACTTTTGCAATTTTTTCATAAGTCTCCCAGTTATACACCCTATTCATTCTTTAATATGAAAACAGTTTAATGTTGCCAGAGTGAGCAATGATGAGTTAAATGATTCTTAGTGTAAGAAAATCCCCAAATTCAAAGAATAAAAATAACAAGTGCACTTGCACAACAAGTTATTTCACGTCTTTACCTGATTTATTTCTCTTCCATCTAACAAGGAGCTCCAACAGTGTGTAGAACATGGCTTCCCAGGCAAAAAAAACTCCCATAACATTCATCAACCAATGGTTTGTGGTGCTGTCAATCTTCTTCAGACCTGTAAATATGGCCGCCACTGGGTGGTTTCATAAAAAAGTCAACATTTCAAACAATATGGCAGGAATATAAAATATAGTTAATATTTCTATAGGTGTCTACAAAAACAATACGAAGCCAGAACTTACCACCCAGACCTTTTACTGCTACTCCAATGAAAGCATGTGACAAGTTGAATAGAAACCTCCTGTCAAATTTAATAGAATAAAATCTAAATTAATACCTGCTGTAATGAGAACATTCTTTTAGAGCTGACAATTTTGTCTTACATGGTATTTGTAGAAAAAGAAAGTTAGAAACATTTCTCATTTTGACAGTCACTGGACTCAGAACTTAAGAATATATACAGTACATATGATTGAAACTTTAATAGAATTTGCATTGGGTTTGTTTCACATGTAATGGACACAAAGAGGAAAAACAAAGGAGAAAAGAAAGGCAAAAAAGTGGGAAAAGGGCTTAAAGGCAAAGAAGGAGGTAAGAGCAGAGGCGAGAGCAGTATAGAGAGAAAGAGAACACAAATCAACATCCTTGATGTCTGCCTCTAGACCTGCGGAAAGAGAAAAGACAAAACCGAGAAACCACAACAAACAACATATGCATATAGTTATAACATCATTAGAAAGTATACAGTACATGGTAATACAAGATGTATTTGGTGTCCAGCGCAACCCAACTGAGTGTGTATCTGACAAACGCCTGAATCTAAACACCTGCTTGTGTATTTTTGTGTGAGTGTGCTGGTGTCTATAAGATTTCTCCATAAGAGTGTTCAATAGTGGGTGTAGTGACACACATTTCTGCCCCCGTGACATGATGACGACACAGGGAAGACCGGAGCCAAAGACACCTAATGGGCCACCAAGCCCAGAACTCCGGGAGTCCCCCAACAAGGACAAATGCACCCCCCACCCCTCAGTGAGAAGCAGAGGAGAGCTCTGGGCGATCCCCCAGCAGCCACAATACAGAAGCCCCATGGGGCTGCCGGCAGTGCCGTCACGCCAGAGCAGATTCAGCCATGGACACAAACCTGAGTCCCGAGGGTATACTGACCCCCCGACCAAACACCAGGACAGGATCAACCCACTACCACAACCACCACCAAGCAACCCCGGCAAGAGGTCTGCACCCAGCACCGACAGCCCCCATCATGCCCCCTCAACCATACAAACAACCACACGTCACCACTACTGTAACGCCAGCCCAGGGATAACCATCATGAAGTCCAGCTCTACTGTTGCCACCCAACTAATCTGAACATAAGCGGCACCACACCCGAAAAAGATGCCCCCCCCCCCCCCCCC